TAAACACACCAGCCGAGTCCTTAAACACACCAGCAGAGTCTTTAAACACACCAGCCGAGTCCTTAAACACACCAGCCGAGTCCTTAAACACACCAGCCGAGTCCTTAAACACACCAGCCGAGTCACTAAACACACCAGCCGAGTCCTTAAACACACCAGCAGAGTCTTTAAACACACCAGCCGAGTCCTTAAACACACCAGCCGAGTCCTTAAACACTTCAGCCGAGTCTTTAAACACACCAGCTGAGTCCTTAAACACACCAACCGAGTCACTAAACACACCAACCGAGTCATTGACTGTCCTTTTGGATGCCATTTTATTTGAACTTGTTAAAAAAATAAATTGTACGCATCTTTTATGATTGTCCACTGTTGTCATCACTATGTTAAAAAAATTCAGGTCTCTTGTAAATGAGTCCCAGAGGCTCAGTGGGATTAACCTGTTCATTCAGCCTTTATTGATACAGGTTAATCCCATTGAGCCTCGGGGACTCATTTACAAATGTTCCACGTAATGTTTTTATTCCATTAGTGTTTAGTGTATTTTTAGTTTAAGTTTGTCTTAGTTCATATCTTAGATGTTATTACTGTTGTTCTTTTACATTTCATTGTTGAATGTAACTGGGACCCTGTGTACATTATTTCTCTCCACCACATGTACCACTACCACATGTGGTGGAAATGACAAAGAATCTCTGACTCTGACAAGAGAGACCTGATTTCAACAAAGAGTGATGACAACTGTGGCTAACAAGGACAATAATAGACATTCACAAAAGAGGCGTACAAATTGATTTTTTTTTTTTTTACAAATCAAAACAAAATGGCAACCAAAAGTACAGTGAAAAGGAAAAGTAGCGGGGGGAAAAAAACGTTAGATTATAAGGCGGTGTAGAAAACTAAAAACAGGAACATGTCTGCATTGGTTTTTCCCAGGAACTTAACAGATTCTTAAAGCCACTTAGAGAGGTCGAGAGCTTCAGATCTTTTTGCAAGATATTCCAGGAAACAGAAGTGGAGTAGGAGAAGCCCCTTTTGCCAAGTTCAGTCCTCACTGAGGGAACACTGCAGGTAATAATGTCCTGAGAGCGCATATATACAGACCTGCTGAGTCAGTAAACACGGCAGCATAGACCTGCTGCATCACTAAATAGACCAGCTACGTCACTAAATAGACCAGCTACGTCACT